CCCGTTCAGAGCATTTCAACTAAAAAAAACAAAGTCATCCAGAACCAGAAAAGTTGGTGCTACCTGCTGGAATAAACCAACAGCAATGACAGGTTTCCTTTCCCTTCAGTTCCCTGTTCTCTTGTGCAATGCCCTGTAATGATGATGCATTTCTGATTACAGTGGTTCTGCTAAAAATTGGCGGGAAAGTGGGTTTGCTCGACAGCCCCAAGGTTGCAACAATCCCGATTCTTGGTGCAAAAGAGTTGTGAGAGTCACTGCCTTGACCCATGAATGTCTGTCGCCAATTTTGTGCCAAACCGTTTTGGAAGAACTGAAATCTTTCACTACAGAAGATTTGACCTGCTGGTGGTGCAGCGGATCCTCAAAGTCAGTAGATTTCTGACTGTGTGAAATTCAATCTATCCAGTCATTTTTTTGACATATTTACATCTGGTATGAAACAATGAACCATCCCCCAGAACGACGCCACAAACATGTCAGACAATGAGCCTACTTCACAGCACTGCACAGCGTCTACACCTTCTCTTGAAATACTGTTTGCAAGCCCTGACAACTCCCAGAATATACTGTCTCTGTGGCTTTCTTCCTGCATTCTCCTACCACACTTTCAAAGTCAAGAGAACATAGGAACAGATAAGATGCTTATTTATGTGGCTTTGACTTGCCTCTCATTTTCCGCACATCTCCACCGTATGAGATGAACACTGTCTGAAGCAGCAGCGGAGGAAGAGTGTATTTCTGTTTTTGTCCCCTTGTCATAACTCAAATCATGCTGCTTATTCTGTTTTTTTTGTGCAACATGTCAACACATTGTTGGCCGCTCACTTCTCTCAGACACACAGCTGCTGTACATTGAAAATACAGAGAAAAATTGTATTATTTCTCAAATTCTCTTGATCTTAAGCCAACAAATGTGATTGTTCACGCCACACCTGAATTACAAAACCCAGTCGGTCACCTTTAAACTCACCCTTCCTCTCTGGACATAGTAGATCAGCCCTACTCGTGGTAGTTTACTGTGTTAATACCTATTATAGTGGTTGAATTTCTACCCTCCCTCACTTCTCATTGCTCTGCTGCGTCCCTTGAAACCTCACTGAACTAATATTGAAATCCAAACGTCTCCAGCCAACAGTGAAGGTAGAAAATCCACAGAGATTGGACTCAAATTGACTTTTTTCAGTGTCGTAATAGTGAAATAGATGCAAGTGAGTCACTTCATGCGAGTGAGAGGCTGACCGCTGGAGACATTACGGAGAGACTTGGTGAGCTTCTATGAATTCTGGATGACCCCCACATGTATTATCTGGGCATTAACAAGGCTGAGATGTGTCGGTGCAGCCAGGCAGGGGGTCGTCTGGCCTCAATGCACTTGGCGGATTTCTTTTAACTGGCCGTGTTCAAGCCATTAAACTGCACTTTATACATAGTTGGGAGCTTTGAGAGGATGGCACATGTAAAAATCTGATCTGTTCGGCACATCTGTTGCTTCTGATCGCAGTCATGACAACTAAGCAGACACTAATGACACAGTTTAGCAACGCAAATGCACAGTGGAGGTAAACTGGCTCTCCATTTTTGTGTTTCTCATAAGTCTGTTGGCTGTAGTACAAAGCCGCACAGGGAATCATGCTATATTAAATAAACCGTTTGATGATGTTTAAGGATGTCTAGAAGGGATGTGGCTCGAGAAAAGTTTCATCTCAGTGCTTTTATGCACGCATCAATCTTTAAAAAGGGTTTTTAAAAACAGAATTTAGCAGGACTTTAATAAAGCTTTGTGAGGTGATTATAAACTGTTTTTAATCGTATAAGACAGTCAGACAATATCAACTCTAGATTGTATAAAATATCTAACTGCAAAATGATGTTAAAAAGTCTAAAAACATGCTTGCATTGTACACCTATTAGCTTTGTATTGCTATTCATTTTTAATAGTTGAATGTGTGCTCTTAATATTTTATTATATGTATTATTTCCCTCAGAATAACTACTTGTTTAACAGCTAAACTTATGAGGCCGATACTAATAGACAGCAAACATGCCTTAAAGCTAAATCACAAAATGGACAAACAACAATGATAGTGAACACACATTTGGAACTCAGCATGACAGGAACGCAGTAAACTGAGATTCTACTATTTAAAGTCTGTGGTAAACAATATTTTCAGCAGGGGCAGCGTTTTCTGCTCTCAGTGTACGTTGTGAAATTTGAAAACTGTTTGTATCTTGTGACAATATGGGACGACCCCCAGTGACCTAAAATAAGAGAATAAAAACATGCGTATTGGAAACCAAGCGATGGATGGCCTTTAAGAGGTTGAAAGGATTCAGGTTTGTCAGGGAAACAGATGACTTGGATGTAAAAACACGGGATTACAGCCCGTAGAGCGGTATGGATTATTATCGAGGCAGTGTGCTATCAGCAGCTTCAAGCGCTGCCTCCAGGTTTTTTATTCTCTAAATGGGAAAATCATAGTAAGAAAAAGGCCTATAATACACACACAGCTGGAGGCGTTTTAGATGTGCTCCTTGTTTGGCTCTCAGCGCTACAGGCCTGCTTTGACCTGAGGCCTTTATGAATGTCACTCCTGAATGCTCATAAGCCTAAAATATCACTTATTTACACTGAAACACTACAATATACACAACTGTAGCACCTAGCTTTTTTTTCTTTGCTGGCAGAACAAAAAATACTTTTGCTCTTCATTGTTGGTTCTTAAGTTCAGATCCAGAGAATTTCAGAGAGGATGATTGAAAACCAATAATTAAAACAATGCTAACGCCTGCTTAGCACCAACAGATTGATAATAATAACCTCATGTTTGGTTAAACTTTCTGAGCAGTTCTCAGAGGGGGCACGGTAACCTCTAGTTGTTTCCAATATGCACCGTTATGATCTTCAGAAATGCAGCTAAAAAAAAAAAACCAACAACTTGTGATTGAAAAGCCAAGCAATCCGAGCTGAGAGCAACCGCTGATATCCCACCAGCGCTTCGTGAGGTTGCCTTTTTGATCTGTATGTTCTGAGCTGCAGGTACAAGACGTCCTCGATTCAAGAGAAGGAGTTTATTTGTTTAGATTTAATTTCTAATGGAGCGCGGCGACACGTGCAACGCCTGAAATAAAAGTTTTTGACGCTCAAAAATGTTGTAAACAGGCTTCGCGGAGGCCGACGGGTGGCATTGTGGGTAGCGATGGAGTCGTCTTCTGATCATAGAACTCGCTGTATTTAATTTGGAATAATTGCTAGGCAGAAAGCAAGACATCCACGTCGCTTCTCTCACCCCTTCAAGACAGACAGATGAATCCCCGCACAGGAAAGGACTGATGAGCGATGGAACAAACTCTTTCCTTTCATACTTTTATCCAGCATCTGCTAATCAATACTTCCTCATGATGTCTGGCCTCCTTCTTATGTCTGACGTGCCCCTGCCTGAACCTTCTGCTATCCATTATTTGTTCTTTCTCCTCCATACATTTCCGTCTTTCATTCCCCTCCCGCCAATCCTCCCACCTTTCCAGCTCCTTCTTCTTCTTCTTCTTCCTCTCCTCTCTCTCTCTTTCTTTTCTTTCCCGGTGTTTCACATTTACTCTCAACTGCTCTCCTCTTCTTTCTTTCCTTTTTTTTTTCCCTGCTGTCTCTCATCTCCTGCACGCACCACAGTAGCTGCCTCTAAGGCAATCAAACAGTGGGAGTTTTCAACACAGCAGATGCGCTGGATGGATGGGAGGATGAGTGGAAGAGGTTGAGGGTGAGCAGCACACAGGCTGGATTGCTTGGAGAGAGGACAACCTACACCTGCTTTTATTTTTCATGTCAGAATAAAAGCTCCTTTTTTTCTTATTTTATTCCTCTAAACATTCACAAACCAGTTGTTTGTTTTAGAGAATTTACCGCATCCTGAACGGGACTTGAAAGTAAATTAGTTTAATGAGCGTTTTGCTTCACAACTGACAATACCTCGTCGCTGTGCTGCAGCTTCACATCCAGAAAACAGTGAATTTAGCACCAGGACATGATCACCATTGTGCGCCAGGCTTCATTACCTCAACAGCATGAGTCAAGTGTTTTCCATCCATGTCTAGCTGCACGTAGATGACCGGCAAGCTGGACATAGCTTCCAAACCCCTCCCTCAAATATCCCTTCTTCTTTTTCCTGCTGCTCATTAATTCAAGACCCCAACAATAAAGTATATGTAGCAAAACATAAAGCCCCCAGGGGAGCCACCAGCATAATTACACAACAGTTCAATTTGCAAGATACGTTGCAATTAAAGCTGTTGTGGCTTTGCAAAGCGTCATCATGTGTTTCAACGCCAGGAACGGGCTTCAGCTGCTTCACTATCACTTGACACATCAAAAGACTGCATAAAGGGAGTTGTTAGTAGGATGAAAGAGGAGCTGCGATGGGGCACACTGCAGGCAGGAAAACAAATAAGTGAGAAAGCATGTGATTTCTGCACAAAACCTGTGCGCAAGGCAAGAGGAGGAGGAAGAGGAGGAGGAGGAGGAGGGAGGGAGGAAATTAAAAATGCCTGTCTCTGTTTGCTGTGCTTCAAAAACGCACTTAATGTTTTAATCTTCTAAATAATCAAGAGTCTCAGACAGCCTGCTGCCTCTTTTCATCCAGAGGAAAAAAGAAAGAAAAAGGAGGGGAGGGAGGACGCGTCGCTGTCCGCGGTGCTGGAGCTGCTGGAGCCTCCGCAGCAGCAGCAGCTCCGTCCTCCTGCCGGCTACATGCGCTTCGTTTTGGCTCCGTCCTCTGCGCACGTATTGATTAATTATGATCGGGCCGGCGGGTGGCGGGCTTTCATCTGTTAACGCCCGCCTCCGTCGCCGTCTCCGGGGAAAGGCATTTCAAACATCTACAAAATGAGTGAGGCTTATTTTCAACTTTTTTTTTTATGAAGGGAGGGGAGGGGAAAAAAACAGCAAGTTGGAGGAGGCGAGTGACACACAATCACACACATGCATCGCACAACACACACTCTACCTGTATAGTTTGGCGGTTGTAGACTTTCACTACGTGGAAGTTAAAACTGTAAATCCCTTTGCGCGGCGCGATGAAATTACTCCTCTCCTCGTCAAAATTCCTGCCAACGTTTACTAGAACCTGCAAGAAAGAAGGAGGGGGGGAAAAAAGCAAGAAAGGAAATTCCTCTGATAAAACTGCTCGTCTGTGTTGCAGTATTTTTGCACCCAGAAGATCACTTGAGTGCATCAAAAATGCATAAATATCAATATTATGGGCGTCCTGACAAACAGACTGCATCTAAAAACACATAATCCCAAATGTTTTCACCTAACAAGTGACTCAAATAACAAAACGTAATCTTAGAGAAATGAATAGTCGTTCATTTATTGATAAATCAGATAAAAATCGTGCTGTTTCTCTACATTTCCCCACACACTCACATCCACATCTGCTTTTATCAAGGCTTATCTTTTTTAAAAATACACATCAGAACTTCCAAACTTTATAGGAGGGGGGGAATGAAAAGGGAACTTAATCAATCTTTCAAATGGAATTTTCAATTATGCATCTCTGCAGCCAAATGTCTGGTTTTATGGACGCAGGCGAACTGTGGCGCTGTAATTGAACGGCAGTTTGAGGGAGAATTAACCTTTAACGGCAGCCGGGTAGGACTTCGCCCTCACGACCTGCCGTTACTAAATTATTTGGAGACACGTCAGGTCCCATCACCCAGCGCTGTCAGAGCTTTTTAGAAAGTTGAAATATTGAAAAGGTTCGCCCTCCAGGACTGTGCGTTTTTTGGGGGGGGCACATTGGACATTAAATTTGTCTATATACATATATAAAGAATTAAATGTCCCTCATCCATCTGCGTAAAGTCACTGTAGCACCACCTGTATCGACAACTTAATTTAGCCCTCTTACGCCACATGCAATAAGTTGAGTCTTCATTGCGCATTTTGGAGTTGGTGCCATAAAGACGCACAGATGCGTAAACATCATCCATGAGACCAAACTGTCTGAAACCAACACAGCACCTTCAACTTCATGCAAACTTTGCTTCATGGTTCATCACAATCTGTATATTTTTGCCTCCTACCCGGTCGAAGTAGATGACCATAGTCCGGTTGCTCATCTCCGACGGCTCGTGGTTGGTGTTCCGGACCGCGGAGAACGCCACCTTCGCGCTGCCGGAGCGCACCGAGATCCCGAGCGCCGTGCCCGTGGGGTCCGAGGTCGGGTTGGAGTCGCACACCACCAGGCACTTCCCCTCCAGGACGATCGGTTCCGTCTCGTTCTGAGCGCGGGCCGGACTCGCCGCGAGCCACACGGCGCTCAGCAGGCAAAACGCCAACATGCCGGAGACCGGAGCGGTGAACTTGTTCGCACCTCAAACCGCGGGTCTATTCCCCCTTCTTTGCGTTAAAAGTAAGAGAGAAAAAAAACAGTAAAGCAGCAAGAGTTTCCCGGTGTTTCCCCCGAATCACCTTAAGAAGGCTGTTGTTGTTTTTTCTTCTTCTTCTTCTTCTTCTTCTTCTTTTTTGGCTTTTAATTAGCCAAACAGCAAACTCCACAGGACGGTGTGTTTTCAGGCGGCTCTCCTCTGCTCTTCTTTTTTTTCTGTCTTTCTTTCTCGGAAATGTTACGACCGTCGTATCTCCAGTCGAGTCCACAGTTTTGGGGCAGTTCTTCGGGGCTTTTTCTCACTTGTCGGCGGCTCTCGGTGTCTCGGTGCGCGGTGCGGAGCGGCCCTGGACGACTGACGAGGCAGCGGGACTCATAGCGCGCGGAGGGAGGAAGAGGAGGAGGAGGAGGAGGAGGAGAAGGAAGAGGAGGGGGGGCTCCGTCTGCTCTCTCTCGCGCGCGCGCCTGAATTATTGATATGTGAGATATGAGAGTCAGAGGCACAAAAGAAGAAGAAGAAGAAGAAGAAGAAGAAGAAGGCTCGCGAGAAAGGAGGGAAGGAAGGAAGGGAGGGAGGAAGGAAGGGATGAGGCGCGTGAGCGTAAAGCTGCTCCCCGCCCCGCCTGCTCTCACTCCCTCTTTTCTTTTTTTTTAGTTTTTTGTTAGTTTTTTTTTCCCGTACAGACCCCTCCCCTCCCTCCCTCCCTCCTTCTCCCGGTAACGGAGACTCATCATCGGATTAGCGCGTGCGCGTCTTCGATATTTTCCAATCACTGCGTGCAGACCGCCCCCTCCCCGCCCCGACACTTCATCGAGCTTCTCTCTCTCTTCCTGGTTTACTCCATCCAAGACTCCCCTGTTCTATCTATCTATCNCCCCGCCCCGACACTTCATCGAGCTTCTCTCTCTCTTCCTGGTTTACTCCATCCAAGACTCCCCTGTTCTATCTATCTATCCATCTATCCATCTATCCATCCATCCATCCAGCCATCCATCCATCTATCCATCTATCCATCTATCTATCTATCTATCTATCTATCTATCTATCTATCTATCTATCTATCTTTTGATCTAACCATCCTTTGATCTATCTATCTATCCTTCAATCTATCTGTCCTTCAATTATCTATCTATCTATCTATCTATCTATCTATCTATCTATCTATCTATCCATCCATCCTTCGATCTAACCATCTTTCGATCTACCCTTCTATCTATCCATCTATCCTTGTATCTGTCTATCCTTTGGTTCAACCACCCTTCTATCTATCTATCTATCTATCTATCTATCTATCTATCCATCCTTCGGTCTATCTATCTATCCATCTATCCATCTATCTATCCTCCTATATCTTTCTATCATCTATCCATGGATCCATTCATATATCCACCCATCTATATCTACCTCTCTATCATCCATCCATTTTCTGTCATTTTATCATCTCAGTCTATCTCTATCTGTCATCCATCCATCTCTTTATTGTTCATCTATATCTATCTCTATATCATCTCTCTATCTATGCATCCTTATACCTTTCCTTCTATCCCTCTATCATCTACCCATCATATATATCATCTATCTATCATCTCTGTCTATCTTAATCTATCTCTATTACTCTATCATTCATCCTTTTATCATCCATCTGTCCATCTATCTCTATTTATCTCTCTTTTTTTTTTCTCTATGTCCTTGCCTCGTTCTTCTTTCTCTCCCTCTCTTGTTTCTCTTTCTCTCTTTCTGCCATAATGATGAAAAACAACACCCAAATTTAAGAAGGCCTCTTTGATTCCTCGGCAGTCAAATGGGAGATGCAGCAATGCAGAAAGTGTGCCAAATGAGCACCGCTGGGAGACAAACCAGCAGGGACACGCAGCTATGACAGGTATTATTTCAAAAACACTATTCCACTTCCATAAAATCTGCACTTTTAGCGCCTAGTATTAGTTGTTGGTGGTATTGATGTCCAAACTACCAATACGCTGTTTTGAGCATCAATGTGGAGAATCAATATAAAAGCACAACATGGATCCATAAATTCACGTCACATCCTCCGTCTATCTTTACATCTCTGCTGCGATGGCGTCCAGCTCAGTGTTTCCAGACATGCATGCGTTTAAAGTTCCTCTATGGTTGTGGACTTAGCCCCTAAAAACTCTTCTCTGAGTATCACAGTTACACGTTTGACATTTTTCCCTGGAAAATGGCTGAGATTCAACTCTAAACTAGCGTTAGATCAATTATCGGCATTTATTGTGGCCAACATGTGGCATTTTTTCGAATATTGATATTGTTATTTTCATTGATCAGTTATTGATCGCTTAAACGCACTACTTCAGGTCTGATGCAGCCTCCTCTCTCTCTGTCTGTCGTCACTCTGTGGTGTCAGAAATGACTTTCAAGCAAAACCTGAACAAGAAACACAAGCCATTGCCACAAACAAGGAAGTCAGCTCCTATCATAGTGGCTAAGGCTACGCTAACGGCTAGCAGCTAAGTCAGCAGGTAGCCACAGATTCACCTGAATCACAGTCTGGTAAACAATACTTAATAATGATTTACGATGTGAACCTCGGTGGGCAATAAAAGAGATCGAACAGATTAAGAAAACAGAAAGCAGACATAACTGCAGGAGACAAACGGATTTTTCTTTCTGAATTTCAGTTGATCCAGCGTAAACCCAGGAGAGCGTCCTAATTAAATCACTCCTATTTCTATTTTCTGATCCCTATACTGATCTGTTGCCTCCACTAGAATGTGCAGATTCCCAACCTCTCTTCATGCACACCTCCCTACTCGCTGCAGCTTGAGCACACCAGCTCACCCGAGACTTTGCAGAACTACAAAGTTGCACAGTTGCAAGACGCAGTAATTCAGTGTGTGATGAACCGGCAACCGGCTCAGGGTTTATCCTGCTTCTCGCCCCAAACTCAGCCGGGATCGACTCGGGCCGCTCACAAACCCTCTGCAGGATAAAGCAGGTACAGCTAAAGGATGAACATTTGTTCCACAAACTGATTCTGAGGAAGAATAATGACACAGAAAGTTCCATCTTGCAAGCTGTCAGGATCAATTCTTTAGGTTTGTTTCATATAAAACCCCAAAGTCTCTCAGAATCTGTTGTTTTTTTTGATGCTGTCATCAATACACTGCAGTTTCAAGGTGGAAATGCTGCTCCATGATGTTGATGACTTGTGTTGTTCATGATTTGACTTCCAGCGCATAAAAAAAACACAATAAGTAGAAGAAAAAGAAGAGAAACAAAGAAAGTCCTTACACTCAAGAATGAAATATATCAAGTCATGAATAATACGTATTATAGCTTCTTTACATGACTGCTTTGAAGAAGATCACATACCCGGTTACCCTGCCCTGCCAAGTTTTAAGACACTTCATGAAATACAGCTCAGTGTTTTTCATTAGAGCTGCCTGCCTCGTGAGTAGCCATGTGTTTAAAACATGGCACTCACAGGTTTTAGCAGGTGTTCCCTTAAAATATTGCAGTACCGGGCCCCTCTATAGCTCACCTGGTAGAGCGGGCGGCCCATGAACAGGGGCTGTAGTTCCCCGATGCAGCGGCCGTGAGTTCGAATCCCGCTCACGACCCTTTGCTGCAGGTCTGTCCCCATTCTTCTCCCCCCTTTCCAGTCTCCCTCTACTGCACTAAATAAAGGCAAAGGCCAAAAAAATATATATAAAAAAAAATATTGCAGTACCAAAGTCTATGTGAAGATAAGTGACTGAGTTCATTTCTCAGCAGCAGTTTTTAAAAACTCTATAGTATATATTCAGTCTGACACATAAATTATGCCTTCATGTGTTGGAGCACATCAAGTGCTGTAAAAGTATAACGAACGCCAGTCAAAAACTGCATCTTTTGTACTGTGGACATTCAGCAAGTTTGACAGACAAACATAAATTTAAATATGAAATGCAAACTCATATAATTCAAATGTATATTTTTTACTTTTTAACTTATTATTTTCCTGTTTTCAGTTTGTTGTTGAAACTTTTTGCTCATCTTGGGCCTCCTCCTACTTATTTTCCTTTTCTCTCCTTTACTTTCTCCTTTTTTGTTACTTTATCTTTGTTTTTTTTATACTTTATACTTACTTAATTAGCCGTTTCCATGTGATTGTCAAAAGAATTTCAAGCAAACTTTTCAAAAGTGCAAATAAACAAATACAAATTAGGCTTGTTTCCATTAACTGCTTTGCTGCCAATAGACTCTGCTGCGTGCCGATGGCAGCACAGGCTACATGACTCATGGCTGTAGGAGTAACATACTATAGAGTGAGTTGGAAAAAGATTCAGCACGTCCTCATGCATAATATATCAAATGCAGTATGCTGAAAATACCCGAATGTCCGACTACCTCTCGTTAGATTTTGCAGCTTGCACGCTTTTCTGGCCATTCTGACCCACAATCCTCGGCACATTTGCATCATATACGTCACGGTGTCTTGTGTGAGTATAGACAAGTATAGCAGCAAGACTGCAGAGATGTTATCTCATTTTGCAGACAGCCATGGGTAAAGTTTATGGTGCAATACTACGATGAAGTAGAACATCCCAGTTGTATGTATGCTGCATTAGACCGTGTGTATGTTGCGAGGGAAGCCGTGTTACAAACTTAGGATGGAAAGTGTTTGATGTGGAACGTAACCATCAGAAAAACTGGAGAGAGTCTTCGGGAATTGTTTTCAATAAGCTAAGTTGTACTGATTCTTTCATTTCAGTGGGTATTAATCATGTTTCATGCCGTCTGGAGGTGATTCAGAAAAAGCTGGTCAATCATGTGAGTCAAAGTTTCTTCAAAAAGGCGTTTCAGAATAAGTAGCCTATTGCTCACATGATATCTTTTTCGAAAAAACACCTCATGTGAGCATAAAAACAGGACATTTTTGTAGATTTCACAATAAACACTGGTGTAAACAAAAGCCTTAAATTCTACAA